ACTGTGTGAGATTTGCGATATTGGTTTGAAGAAATTCAGAAAAGAGACATCAATTGTGCCAATTATTTGGTAGAGATAGGAATATCTCATTGGACACTTGCGTACTTCCCGGGAATGCGATAGAATGTGATGAACAGCAATATCTCGGAGTCCCTAAATGCTGCAATGCAAAAAGCCATAGATTTCCCGATAGTGACGATGGTAGAATTCATTAGGACTATGTTAATGCGTTGGTTTTACGAGAGAAGAGAAGCTGCAACTAGAACGAGGACAAGATGTACGCCAGAGATCGAGGAAATGCTAATAGATCACCTAAAATTAGCGACAGATTGTGCTGTCATAGCAGCAAGTGAATGGATTTATCAAGTAAACGACGGTTTTGGTATCGTTTTCACTGTGGATCTAGAGAAAAAAATATGTACTTGCAGAGTATTTGATGTGCTAATGGTGCCGTGTTGTCACGCTTTAGCCGCGGTGGGGATAAGGAACGTGGACATTTACTCCCTGATCGGGAACTATGCATTCGTGACGGAGTGGCGTAAGCTCTGGCGTGCCCATATTCTACCTCCGCCTAAGGAAAAAGACACGGAGGTCCCAAACGTAGTTAGTGAAATGGTTGTGAATCCACCAAAAACAAGAAGACCAGGCGGAAGACCAAAGACCGTACGCATACCATCGCGGGGAGAGTATCAAGTAACAAATTAAGAGTCTTAAATGAGTTTGGTCCTTCAACACAAAATAATTAATTGTGTCCATGTATGTGTTGCAGGGCAAAGGAGGGAAGAAAAAAAAACCTAACAAATGCACCACATGTGGGAAGGATGGCCACAACAGAGCAACTTGCAAAAATCCTATCTAAGTTTTAGGGAATAATACTTCGACGGCTTTTGGTCCATGAAGTATTGCGGAAAAGAGGGTTTATCGTTACTTAGGTTGGATAGGCCACGGGAAATTTGTTTAGTCCATGGCTTAACATCCATTTTTTTAGTCCATGGCTTAACACGGAAAGTATAACTAATATATATTTATTTTTTGGTAATTGGATGTAGTATGACATGTATGGGTATCTTTTGGCAAGCACATCTCACAACTTATCGAACAAAAACTATATATATTTATCATATACATCTTCGGGGAAGACAAAAATATATGGGAGACCATATAAAGGAAAAACAAACAAATCATAAGACCCACCAATTAACACAGAGAGGACAGGGGTTCCAAACATTACAGTTGGAACATTCTGAATATCGACGAGGGGGATGGATCAAGTAGCACGTATAGCCAGTCCAGTTGAATCTAAGTTGGGTTGGGGCAATCTTCTTAATATCGGATATCACAAGCTTGGCCACACGATCAGCGTTGCGAGAAGAGACAACTTCTTGTTTGAATAGATTCATGGCGATGATCGCATCCTTAGGTCTATTAATAGAGACAAGGTAGAGACCCTTGGTGAAAAGAATTTTGTCGGATGGATCGGGTATATGAGCGAGCATGTCCATTGCTTCTTTGATTAAACCTTCAATTGCAGCGAGCCTAATGCTCTCTAAGTAACAAGCAGCAGGATTTCCAGCCTTTACACATCGTAAAATAAAGAAGTAAATGGGTGAACCGATGAAAACATTTTGAGGATGCGCTTCAAGGAGAGCCAGAGAAGTCTCCCGCAAAACAGAAGGATCAAGTGCGAGACGCATGCCAGCGTTCCCAGAGAGAATAAGGGGACCTAAGTGTCGGTAACATGACTTACCAACAAGAAGGACAATCGATACTCTAAGATGTTTGGGAAGCTTTTGCCACAAAAACATATCAAGGAATTGGAATTAGGAATGGTTTAGCACAATGAATGTCGTTACTTACCTATATATAGATGGGATTACTAATTAATGGTTGGGGACAATGAATGCTGCTGTTAGAGATTTTGAATTAGTAGTTGGGGACAATGAATGTGGAAAAGTAAATACTAATTAAAGTGACAAGACCTATCTCATTATTAGGTGACTAACTATTCTAAGGGATAACTGTTTAGCATTTTCGTATTGCATTGGGGGACGTGAATCTACAATTTACGGTAGCTTGTCGGCATAGAAATAAGTAGATCTGGGGCGAGATATCTTGATACTTCATATTTTTACAATATATATAAGTTGTAGAATTGAGTCGAAGCTTGGAAGCGTCTCAGGGACAATAATCGCGTGTAAGCAAAAACACGTTTGGAGGACACGAACGTCTCTAAGTGATAGCTTCATATCTTAAATATAGATAACTTGTAGAATTCGGGCTACAATAAAAGAGGGACGAACATTACACGATAGTCTCCAGTAGACAACATGATATAAAAAATGGGGGACATAATAGCCGAAGGATGAAAAAAGAGCTATTAAAGCTACATATAAGTGCCAAGCACGAACGCGGCTATGGGGACAATAATCGTAAGGACGAGAACGATGATTTTAGGACACGAACGAGCGACGTCGACAATGGAACGAGGGGAGCGTTGCAAAAGACATAAATTCTGCTGAAGCAATTTAATGTCTTCCTGGTAAAGGTCCATGTGCTCCCTGTTAGGGGCGGTAAGTAGGAACTTAAGGTGTTCTTCCTGTTCCCTAATAGAGCACTTACCGCTGAAATCTCGTCCATAAATGCCTCGTCCAACCATTTAACAAGATGGCGCCCAGGTCGGTCCTGAATACAAACATAGCAAATGTAACTATAGTAGATCGAATTATTGAATATAGTAAGAGTGGGATTTAAACTTACATCTCTCTTCTCGCACTGATAAAACTGCCTGCCAGGGTTGTCCTCGGAGAGTGAATTCGCAAGTACGACCGTCCCTCCGTAGTAACAGTGACGAGGTATACCAAGATTTTCAAAAGACATTGGCCCGGGATAAACAGGTCCATAAGAACTAAGAGATTCTCGGGATGAATCCAATGACTGGCTATAACTATGGAGGCCCATGGTCCGTGGGAAACAATTAGATGGTAGAAATTATGGAGTAGGCTGGGGGGAGTTTGAGAGAAAGGGGATAATTGTGTAGATGAAGAGATCATTAATGTGGAGAGATAAATAGAGACTGATGCCCAAAAATCTTGAAAAGAATATAATATAAATTTATTAAGCAAAAAGTTACCTTTTCGCTGATGTGATGACACAGAAGGAAAATCATGGGGAAGAGTAACGGGTTAGGGGAGAGAATAGTGGAGAGCAACTGGCTTCTACTGTTGTTATTGGGTATCTAAACGTGACT